AGGTGAAATCTTAAAGTGGTTTTAATTTGCATTTCGCTAATTATTAGTGATGTTGAACATCTTTTAAGGCTCTTCGTAGCCATCTTGACTTCTTCTTTTGAGAACTCGCTGATCAGCTCCTTAGTCCATCTTTTAATTAGTTACTTCTTGTTGATTCTGTTAATTTGCATTTCCCTAATTATTAGTGATGCTGAACATCTTTTAAGATGCTTCGTAGCCATCTTGACTTCTTCTTTTGAGAACTCGCTGTTCAGCTCCTTAGTCCATCTTTTAATTAGTTACTTCTTGTCTTGATTCTGTTTTTTGGAGTTTGTTATATATTTTGGATATTAAACCTCTGTCAGATGTGTCACTGGTGAAAATTTTCTCCCATGCTGTGGGTTTTCTGTTCAGTTCCCTGGTTGCCTCCTTTTATGTACAGAAGTTTAATGAGGTCCAATTTGTTAATGAGGTCCAATTTGTCAATTAGGTCCAATTTAGTTTAATGAGGTCCAGTTTGTTAATTCTTGCCCTTGTTTCCTGAGCAATTGATGTCTGGGTTAGAAAATCCTTTCCTACATGCATATCTTGTAGGTTTTTCCCAATGTTATTGTCAATGTTTTCTTCTAACAGTTTCAGGCTTTATTTTGAGGTCTTTAATCAATTTGGAGTTGACTTTTGTGCAGGGTGGAAGACAGGGGTTTAGTTTCATTCTTCTGCGAGAGGAGAACCAGTATTGTCAGCACCATTTGCTGAACATGCTGTCTTTCCTCCAGTGAATGTTTTTGACCCCTTTGTCACATATCAGGTGGCTGAAATTGCATTTACTCATATTTGAGTCTTCAGTTTTGTTGCATTGATCTATGGGTCTATTTTTCTGCCAGTACCATGTTGTTTTTATGACATAACTCTGTAATACCGTTTAAAATCTGGTATAGTAATCCCCCCATCATTGCTCTTATTGCTCAGGGTTGCTTTGGCTATCAGAGATCTTAGGATTTTTTTTCCAATATTGTGAAGAATGTCATGGGGATTTTGATTGTCATTGAATTGAATCTATAAATGGCTTTTGGTAGGATGGTCATTTTCACAATATTAATTCTTCCAATCCATGAGCATGGGAGGGCCTTCCATCTCCTGATGTCTTCCTCAATCTCTTCCTTTAACGATATAAAATATTCATTTTAGAGATCTTTGGTGTCTTTCATCAGATTTATTCCAAGATACTTTAATTTTTTTGCAGCAATTGTGAATGGGAACATTTCCCGGTATTCTTTCTCCAATTGCTTGTTATTGGTATATAGAAAGGCTCCTGATTTTTGTAAGTCGATTTTGTATCCTGCAACTTACTGAAAGCACTAATCAATTCTAACAGTTTTCT